TTTTCTTATTAATGTTAATCATATCATTATATATCTTACGTACACGTGAACAAAATATACGTATAGGTTAATAATGATATTTCCACAGCAACATTAGATTTATGTCACATCCTTACGATTCATGTTGAGTGAATCATTAGAAACAGCAAACCTTTTTTTTTTATTAATTAAAACTTGTAAAAAAATTTTTTTTATTAATTAAATATTATTTTTTTTAAGCTTTTAAAAAAAAATTTTATCTATAAAAAAAAAAAAAAAAAAAAAAAAAAAAAAAAAGCTTGATTCACCCCCTATCATGATTTGGATCACTTGCAGTTAATAAAATGTACAGTATTATTAATCATTTGATTATTAAAGTGGAATTACGTTGACTGATAAATTTTCGAATCATTTGAAACTACAAGAAATCATCTTGTGAAATATTATTGTTGGATAATATCCACGTATACCTCAGGATCAAATCATGAACTTTTTATTACCTGCTCTGTTTTTCATTAAAACATTTTAAGCCATAATATCGATAGTTAATTATCATTATATATATATACAACCTGCTTATAATCAGAAACAGACAAACTAATTATGATATACAATAGTGATAGTTCTTATAAATCGTTCTTGATATCCAATCTAATAGTACACATCATGAACTGATTAACCGGTTAGAATCACTACTTACAAACTTTAAAAACTACAAAATTATTAGGTAAAAGAGTTAAATACAAACATGACTCTTACTCACGAATGTATTTTTATATTGTTATTTATCAAAAATATATTATAAAGCAAACATTTTCAGTTCTAAATTTCCAATTAATACATGCCAAAAAAAAAAAGACGATAATAATATAATCAAAAAAACAATATTGAATTGGTTCAGAACTAGAAAACAATGTCCGTAGGCGAAATTACGCAATGATAAAAACGTAAAGCAAATCATGCTATAACAAATCCATCATTTATCTAGAGTGTATATAAATCCCATTTTTTCAAAAAATCGCCATATATTATTCTATAACTATCGCTTTAATCAATTCTGTTAAACGAACGGCCTCCTTTATGCACTTCGTTCAATTTGGGATTATTTTTTGCTAAGATGTCCTTACCCATCTTTGCAAAATCGAAATCGCAATCATGCTTGTCTGGAATTTTGTGATTGTCACAGTAAACGTATTCTAGAGAAACAAAGTTCAAATTATGAATTTAGAATGTAAACAAAAATATAAATATATATATATATTATATATATTATCAGCATACATACCGCAACGGCATTTATTGATAGTTTGCTTGGCCAAAGGAATTTTAGCTCTACACTTGAAACAACGTGATTGGTTTGTTTGGATAGGTCGCGCTTGTATATTCTCTTGAGTTGCAGCTGGAGTGGGGGCACTCGCTCCACTTTCGAGGGAATTCGTCTGAAGAATTTCCACGGAAGTGGAATTTTGTGAGATAGAACCTTGGTGTTCGTTTGTAGCTGTAGTTGAGGTTAGTTGATGTGTTGATGCTGCAGGAAGAATTGCAGGTTCTATAGATTTTTCAACTTGAAATAATAATTTTGTAAAGTGTATATTAACTAGAGATTTGAATAACAAAGTAAAACTTTCTGAAATATAACTTACCACTTTGGCTGTTCTTTGCATTTGCATTACATTCTTTGAAGCACTTAGAGCACATGTGGTTGTAGATCGGATGTCTAGGTTTTGATAAACGAATGTAATAGACATATAGACGTTAATTCAAAAACGGAGTCACTAATTCAGTATACACAACGGTAAACTCATCTCTTGGTCTTAATTTATAATTTATTTTCCGTAGACAGCCTACCCGTAGAACCTACAACCAAAATTGACGCATAGCTCTGGAATCTTAGAAGCGTTGTCCTCCATTTTGGTTAGATTAAACAAGTAAGGTGATTGGTATTTAACAGGTAGATGGGGCGACGGGCTTGAGAATATGGAATTATTTGTAAGCTATTAAGAAAAAAAAAGGACAGTTTAGAGAACGCAAACTCTACAATAAGGACAGCCAAAATAGTGTTGTTAAGCTGCTGGCTGTTTTGACTTTTGCTATGTATGGAGCTCCACCTATACTTTTTATATGTTTTTATACTCGGTTTGCTCCTTTGTTTGATTTATACTAAACTTCAATCAACTTCTAGTGAATTGTGATCATATGGGTAGTACAACTGTAGTACTATCATCGACAGAATATGGATGATTACGCGTCAGCACACGTGATAGAAGTGTAATTTCCTTAGAGTACGTACGTACGTACGAATTTACAATGTGGTGGCAAAGCGAATTATAGTAATAGGATTATGCACTGCTGGTGTTATCATTAGTTATGCAGGTAATGTACATGGGTCACCTCACTGTTTTTGTAAGCTTAACAAAATTATTCTCTATATCAAGACCGTTCAAACATGGCTGTTGCTTTATTTCTCGTGGTTTTGGTTGGCCTTTTACTACACAAGGACTAGTACTGTCTTCATTTTTTGTGGCCTACATAGTGACGCAAGTTTTGGGAGGAACGCTCGCTGACAAATTAGGGGCAAGCAAGTGCTTGGCGGAGGTGAGAAGAATGATACAGTAAATGATAAAAATCTGTTTATTACAAATTTGCAATGCATTTAATAAGAGAAATTAAATTTGTGCCAAGAATATTTTGATAATTGATCTTTCGCAATAAAAAATGTAAAAATATTGATTCAAATTTCATATCGATTCAAAAAATGTTAATGATATAAAGAAACTGAAGCGTGCAAAGAGTCATCCAAGAACATGAAATGGATGAAATAAAGATACATTTTATTGCCCAAATAAATGATTGTGTTAAATACACTTTTTTCCAAAAATGAAAATAAAAGTCTCTTAAATCATATTAATGGAGTAACTTTGGATTTCGCATAATTCAGAATTCTGTAATCAAATATGATCGCATTCAAGTATTTTGCAAAAATATGAACCCTAATTCTATCCTTTCTCTGCATGATATTCTCCCAAACCATATTCAATTTAATATTGGAGGTCTTTGCCTTGAAAATCAAGTTATGTCATATATTTGATTTTCAAGGCAAAGACCCATTGACTACAACACGAATTGTCTAAGCTAGGAAAACATCAGACTTTTCAAAAATGTGTTTGAAGATATATGTTAATTACGCATATGTTAATAACTTTATGTGAATAAAGTACGATTAACATTTATAGTAATATTGTACCTCGTGAAAATGAAAGATTTTTTCTTTTAAAATTTCTAACACAGTTCAGATTCTTAACCACTTCAACTTATTTATATTCATAAATAGGTGAATTCATTTTCATTTGGTTTGTCCAGCTTCTATAATAAGAAAATGATTAGTAGAATATTTTTTTGGCAAAATTAATGAATATAAAATCTTAATAAATATACCTTTCGAAAAAAATATTCATTTTTTTTCCAGAGTATATAGTAAAATAGATTAGTACGTAGGACGGACGTGCAGAAATCATGATAGGACGTACGGTTGTGAAAGAAAAAATTCGTCAAACCAAAGTTACTTTTCCTACTATTTGTCCTTACCCTAACACGAAAAAAGGACAATACTAGTGTTTGTCCTAACTTTAACCATTACTCTCGTATATCTGCCCGAATCTATATTGCCGTACAGTACTACTTTATTGAATACCTTTTTCCAAAAGGATTAATCTATTAGCATGTGCATTTATTACTTTCCTCATTTTGTCTTCTATGCTTTCCTTTCTTGCTTTCATTTGCCTGAATTGAGCGTTTAGTAGATCTTTTTATTAGCTTCAAATAAATTTACTGGTTTTTCGTTTTGATATATACTTGGATATGTAAAAAAATCGGGGTTCTGTTTTTTTCAGATTAATTATCATATCAATCGATATCAGCTATATGATTTGAAACTCCGTAAAAAATCTGATATTTCTTCGGTAATAAACAAGATTAATACTATCTTTATATATTGAATTGTATATTCATTAACCTTCATTATCTAGTTCTACCCATATACATCGCGTGATAAATGTAAGAAAACTCGTACACATTCCACTGGATTCTGATTAATTGCTATTACATTGCCTGATTTTTGTTATCCAAGTTTTCTTTGGTAACGAAAAAGAAAATTGTTATATTTAAGTAAATATTTAGAATAAAAAAAATTTTTATTTCGTTATCCAAGTAAAATTGAACAGTGAATATTTAATTACTAAGCATCATCGAATTATCATAAAATTCTTTCGATAATATAATAGCAATTAATCGGAGTATAGCGGAATGCGGAATGTTTTAGGGAGGTCGCTGTACGAGTTGTGTAAAAAGGATAGCTCAATTAATTGATTGGTAGTTTTGGTGTGGCGATATTCCTTTTATTGATAACGTAAGAGCGAAAATTTACGTCATTAAATAACTTTATAAATTGCCTTTTATTTATACACTACAATATACCGACAAATGGGCGGTATATTTTAGCAAGCACTCCATTGCAAGGGATTATCTTAATAACAATTGGATTACCATTTCTGGAGTATCTGTTTCTCCGGTAAACATATTCGTTTCATTATCGGATTCAAAGTTTTTTAATTCTAAATTTACGAATAAAAATGGGCATTATTCCAGCTATATTTGGCGTAGCGTTGACCGGATGGATTTTAGATATTTTGGGAAACCAATGGAACATTATGGGGACGCTTGCAGCTATCATGTATTTTATCGGATCTTCAATGTTCGCTGTGGTGAAGTAGTTATTGATTGAATAATATAATACTAAAAATAAATAACTTCCATCTGATCATTATATCTTTCTGACGAAATTCAGTGTTTTGCAATGAAAAATTGCTATATCTTTTTCTATATAAAAAGAAAAATATTAAGTTTCGGACAGTGCAAATACAAATAGATGGATCCATCAGTTCTCGGCAAAAATGCACATACTTTTTCAATACAATTTCTTAAATTATTTTACAGTTAAAAATATTCATTAAAATGATATTAAGTCAAATAATAACAAAATCATCTGGTATATCAAAATCGTCTACATTCACTCCATCAAACAATCGTTGATTGCATGGAGATTTAGAATCATTAAAATGTTGATAAGGTTCTTTAGGATCTATCCAAAGTCCACATAAGTAACAAAAATGCGTTTCGCAACGTGTGCATAGCATATGATTACACCCCATTGATTTTTCAATGGGTGTTTCACATTGCGGGCATGGTTGAGTATTAGATTTCACCCATTTACTCGTTTCTAATTCAGCATTAGCATCACGAACCAACTTCTCTAAGTTTTTGGTGCCATAACGAAGTTCCATTATCGCTTTAGTGGACTCGTCTGCTTTCATATATTCTTCGACTATCTTTTTAGTATTGTCCATATGACAAGGAGTACTAGCTCCATGCCTTTTTCATAATTATAATTTTGTGTCAATATCGTTCAATATGTGGGGGTGAGTCAAGCAAATTTTTTAAAAAATTTTTTTAAATTATTTTATAAACTTATATAATTAATTTAAAAAAATTTTTATTAAATTATTTTTATTAAAGTTTTAAAAAAAAATTTTTATTAAAAAAATTTGCTTGGCTTCCATTGACTCACCTCACCCCCATGTGTATTATAATCGTAAGGGATGTGAATTGATAATCTAGGTCACTCACCAAGTTCGTTGACAAAACCAACAGAAAGCAAATGTACACTTCGTACATATGCAAAGCTTTTCAAAATTGGAATCTTTCTTGACGGGTGCTTGACAAATTATACGGGGGCAAAAGGTCACTAAAGGATCGGTCTCTAGTTTCTGCTTTTCTAATAGATCTGAATATCTTTTTCCCATTTCAGCCCCAACTATTTCTGTCACTTCATCACCAGCCAATTTATGTTGCGATTTACAACCAGGGTCAGGACATTTTATTTGTAAAATGAACCCTTCACGAATAAGCATTACAAAATATTCACGAAGACATTCCTGACAAAACACATGTTGGCATGTACGAAGTTGAAAACATCGTTCACCACGTTTTTCCTCAAGACAAATGCCACAATTAAAATGATCATTGGCAAAATCCAGATTCATGGCTTGTTGATTATATGTATGTATAATCGTTTTTAGCATGGACCCACCGATATAATCTAAAGGAATTAACGGTTTCATCAAAATCACATACAAAGGATGAAACGAATCAAAAAAAAAATACAAATCAAAAAGTTGCGAACCGTCATTAAGTCTCAAAGGGAATGATATTTGTAAATAATCCAAAGCTTCATGTTGTATGAATTCTGCAAAATGATCTAATACCTATCAAGAAAGTAATAGCTACATCATAATATGATGTAAATGTCAAAATGATTGGAATAAAAAAATTATTAGAACATACCACATCCTTTTTTTCCTCCCAAATTTGTAACAATTTTCTTTCTAATTTTCTTAACCAATCCCAACGCATCCAAAGACATTCAAGTTCGAATTCCAACGCTTCTTGACTTGGATAATCACTTGGCATTGAAAATATGATTTTGACTGGAGGGAGATACCGAACTTTAAGCGGAGGATCGCCGCCATTTCTTCCTCCAGTAAAAAATATCAAACTTTCTTGAGAAAGGAAGATTTTAATCGAAAGAGCTCCTCTAAATCGAGGGGCTTTCGTGTTTTCTGTATATGTGAAATCTTGTTCGTAAATTGCCTTATGCAATATGAGGTTCCAAGTTGGATAGCACACCCAATGAGCTTGAACTACGTATGATCATTACTATTACTTTATAAACAAATAAAATGCAAGAGCATTATTTACCTTGATTGCCATTATCTCATTTTCTTGTTGTATTTGACAATCGTCTTCTGAATCAAACATTATTGCTTTAATAATGTATAAGAATGTATAAGGCGTAAGTTAAAATTGTATCCTTCTCGGTGTACATCAGCTGATTTTTGGTGACAATTTAACCGACAGATTGATTAGGATTAGTAGACATTCATCTGATTGGTTAATTTAGCTGCATATTTATTTATATATCAAGTATATATTACTAAACTATTATTTCCCGCATGTTATGGCTCCATCAAGCAAAGCCCGAAGAAATATTTCTCTGGCGCCATTGACATCTTTGTCTATTTTTATGCCACAATTCTTGCATTTGGACATTTCTGATCCTCCAATATTTTGAATATTTCTACACCAACTACTGTACATGTTTTTGATGTATATCGTTTTGAATTATTATTTAAATTCCTTTTTTCTCAGCTTTCGAAATCAACCTTTGCCAAAACTTATAATGAAAGCATCTTTCTAACCATTTTTCTCGTTATCTTTCATTTATTTATTATAGTTAAAACATTAAAAGAAAAAATAATGATTATATAAATTTATTAATTAAAAAAACAATTGTTTTTTAATAATTTTATTTTAAAGGAATTTGATTTTTTGTTTTATACAAAAAATAGGTTTATTAATGGAAAATATCTAATTTTCACCACAGTTGATTATTTTCTGTGATTTCAATGCATAACAACAAAACAACAATATAATTTTCTTTAAACCAAAAATTAATACTTTTTATAGTTAAGGTTAGAATGAGATTTGAAATAAGGCAAGAGCATTGCTTATAGTAAAATTTTGCAAGGAATTTTTTTGTTAGAGCTCAAAAGGTATATAGTTTTATAAATACAATTTTGAAATATTAATGATACAGATAATAATTACCTGTGGTATAAATTAACAAATTCTTTATTAATACAGTATGGAATAGTTAAAGATATCTATTTTTTATATATTGTATAAAATATAAAAAAGCTTATAAGAATGTGATAACTTAGTGAAATTGGCAAGTTGTCACACCCCCAAGCAGCAGGACTGGAGTTCGAATCCCACTAGCAATGAAAATTTGAATTTATAGAAAATGCATTTGGAAGACTGTATCCTATTGGATTATAGAACCTGTAATAAAGATCGCATCAGCTTATACTGGGAGGTAGTAGAACATGTAGTATGATGTATGAGTTACATAAAACCCGAGTGAAGCTACCAAATAAATCCAGCGAATTTACAGGATATAGAAGCCTGCTTGGCAAGACCTGAGTAGAGTGGTAGCACAGATCTTTAATAGTTACTATATAAAGGATGATCAACCAGATATCAGAAAACCGGACAGGACCGAGGTGTTTGGCAGAAGCACTAATACCAACCAGGCTGACAGAGAAAATAGGAGGAAGGGTTCTGGCCTTTTTGGGCTATTGGATTGGGAGTTTGGGTTTCCGGAGGTATAGGAGGGAGTCTGTAAAGTAGGTACTGGGATTTAAGAAAACTTTACAAGATCTGTAGTAGGTAACTGTAGCAGCCTCGGCTCGCAAGTACTCATTCTCAGACTTGGCATAAGTTACCAAAAAAATCCTAATCCAGAAATGTGTGGGACATAGAAAGATTGGAGGGCATCTACTTTGCTTATTTGTGAGGACTCATAGGCAATCAACGGGGTAACCAAGCCCAGGTAAGATAAGTAGGGGGCACTTCGGTATAAAGGTACCTAGCTTAGAATAATTGGTGGGTATATATATCTGTAATACTAAAAATGTAGATCCATGTGATCAATGATAAAACATCAATAAAGCTTGGTCCCGAAGGACACTTTAATAAAAAAAAAAAATTAAAATAAAAAAAAATAAAAAGGCTTATAACTTAAAAACAACTTTAAAAAAAATCTATCTTACAAATTTGTGGCTTTTAGTTTAAACTATAATTCTGTTAGAATAGATTTTTATTTTGATTATAAAATTAAAAAGTTTTTAGAGTTTAAAGTTTATATATAATTTAAAATTTAATATTTAATATTGCAAATTAAAATGAAATTAAATTAAAATAAAATTGAAAACCTTTTTTGCTTATTTTTTTTTTTTTTTTTTTAATGTTAAAGTGACCTCTTTGCTACACTGCTCTTTATTTGAATATTAAGTAGTATTTTTAACTGTCAGAATATTCTGACAGCTATATATATTTGTAAAGTATAATTAGCCATATCTGCATCTATTTAAGTATTTGTCTATTACTAGGTTTTATACTAAATGTTGTACCTGCATCCACTAAGGGGTTACTTATTTAAATATTCTGTGCCTATATACCAACCCTTGCTTATTCTTAAAGCTTATAAAACTTATATATATACAGTATTTTAACCTTAAATCTAATCTTTAATGCTAAAAAAAACCTTAAAAATATCTTTTGAAAATTAGAAAAATTTAGTTTAAGCTAATTTTATTTTAATCTTTTATATTTAATACTATATATAAAAAAATAGTTATTAGGGTGTATTAATTTAATATAGTTAATAAGTTGTTATATCTCCAAGCAGCAAGACAAAAGTTCAAATCCTATTGGTGATAAAATTTGAATTTATACTATAGAATGTATAGTAAACTATATTCTATTAGGTCTGCATCTGTAATATGATCTTATTAACTAGTACTAGAAGGTTGTGAAACTATAATATGATGTATAAGTTATACAAAACTTAAATAAAGCAGCTGTGTAAAATCGATAAATTAAAAAATATGAAAGCTCACTTGGCAAGACCTAAGTAGAGAGATAATACAAGTCTTTGACAGTATTATATAAAAGATTATCATCTAGAAATATAAATAAAACTGAAGTATTTAGCAAAAACATTTCACTAACCAGGCTATTAGAGAAGTAATCAAAGAAAAATAACTTAATTATAAAGATCAGAAGCAGATTACAGCCTTTTTAGGTCATTTGAATTAAAAGTTTAAAAGGCTAAGGGTATGAATTATAGTTTGTAAAGTATATACTAGGGTTGAAGTAAACTTTAAAAAGTAAAAAGTAGATAAAAGTGGTGGTTTTGGCTTATAAATACTTGTTTTGTACTTAGTATAAGTTAATGAAGTCTAGGTTAGCCAAATTATAAGTATAAAAAGCTCTAGCAATAATACTTTGAAGATAAAGTAATTTTAAGAGCAATAGTAAGCATCTGAAATTTCTTGATTAACAAATATAATAAAAATATACCAGTAATATAGGTAGAGTTGTATTACAAAGAGTTTAAATAAATAATCCTCTAGTTAGATTATAAATATGATAGCTAATATAAAACCTATAATATAATATCAATGTATTAACTATTTAAATAGACAACCAAAAGTTGTATATATAGCTAGTTATATTCTCTAATATAAAGAAGTTCTTTTAAAACTTTGGTCATAGACCTTTTATTTAGTAATACTTAAATAAAAACCTAAACCCAAAGAGGCTAGTTTAAAAAAAAACTAAATAAATAAAAAAATAGTTATACATTTTTAACCAATTAAAATTTATTATACAAAAAAATTTTTTTTGGTATTAAGGTGAAGCTTTGCTTATATCTTTATTAATAATTTTATTGAATAACAGTAATGACAGGCTAAATAATCAGTTTATATAAATATTATTATAATTCATAATAATACAAATAAAAAATAAAATTATACAGCAAGAATAAAAGCTTAGATTAATTTATTTGCAACCTAAACTTACTAAAGTGATCATAAGCTTATCTAGATTATAATAGTAAAAATATAGTTAAATAATATACTATATTTGACCCAATAAATAAACTATCTATTATATTTTCATCTAACCTGACTAACTGATGAACAGATATTGAAGTAGATATATAATTAGTCAGATTTTTTACATATATATGAATAGGTGTAAAATATATACTTGCATTGCTTTAAAATAGATATTTGTATTAAACTTGAAAAGTTAGATTGTTGTTTAGAATTTGACAATTTAAATTAAGATATTAGACTTGAATTGTTAAAATAAAGATAATTGAGTTTGTTTAATTTTCTTTAATGAAAAAAGTTAGAATAGTAGGGTTTTTATAGTTTTTCGTATAAAGGGTGTGGC